GAAAAAATATCTTAACTATGAACATCTTCGAATTTTTGAAATAATTTTCTAAACGTATTGTGAAGTGAAGTTTTCAGCATTAATTAACAATTTTGCAAATTAGTGTCTTGATTCGTCAAAAATCATTTATTTTGGTGTTCCAAAATTTCGGATACGTCTGTGTTAAAAAATATATAACGTGTGAACGATATTTATCAAACAATATTGAGTTATCAAAACGCGACCTCGATTGCAATGGTGTACTGTACTGATCAGTACTGATTACAAGTCAAGATGATCAACTTCATTATTTAGTGCGATATTGCCAAATTTTATTCATAATATAATTTAGTCTTTGCAACAATATAACTTCCTTCTTAAAAAAGTAATTCTGATACTTATCAATATTATATATAAAATAATGTATTACACGTAGTATACTTCTAATTCTATTAATAAAAAATTAATTAGAAATGCAAATTTAGGTTGGTACTGAAAATCAACAGAGGTTCTTTACCTCACCTTTTAATTTCTTCAAAATTAGTTGATAATATCATTAGAAGTAAGTAGCAAACTAAAAATTAAATATGACAGTAACGTTTAGAAATCATTTTGTAATTTAATAACAACTATTTAATTATTTTGAAATTTGTTGAATGTAGATGGTCATTTGACTAGCTAATGCTGGCATACATATTTAATTTATAAATGTTTCATTATAAAAGAACTATTTGTAACCTTAAAGTAATAATAGGTAATACTAGACAGAACTTGTATACCTGTAATGTATCTTTATACATATATTGAGTATGGAAGCCCACAATGTGATGCAGAGTGATAAACTAATGAGATAACATTTTTAAAAAGTACAAATGTATAGGTATACATAGTTTTCCAAGCGTCTGATGTTATAAAGGACTAAATCTCAATATTTTTGTCGAGAAAAGAAATTGACTGAAGAATTTGCAGACACGAAAGGAACGATGAGAGTAAAGGGTTTTCACCGGACTCAATTTTAGCCGCGTAAATGACATTGAGTTCTCTTACAAGTAAACCTACGGAGGTATCTCACCGATTTTAATGAAACTTTGCATATTTGTAGAAGTTTGAAAAACATTTGATACCACATTTGGTCCACTCTGAAGGGTGAAAACTAAAAGGTAAGGAATAGATTTAACATATTAAAATAAGTTGAAAATTTTAAAAAGTAAAATGTGTTAAAGGATTTTTGGGGTCGCTGAAACTAAATCTTATATAAAAAAAAAGTATGAAATTCAAAATGACCGATCCAATATGGCGTCCAGATACTTATTTCGTATAATATGAAATATAAAATAGTTGAAAATTTTAAAAAGTAAAATGAGTTAAGGGATTTTTGGGATTGCTGAAACTAAATCTTATGTCAAAAGTATGAAATTTAAAAGTTTTCTCTACATGTGTCACGTGCGACCATAAATTACACGGCGGGCATACATAAACGTTTTCCCTTTTCACTGACGCATACGCTGGTAGATAGGAGCGATCTGATGTTTACGTTTTTTTTCAACAGAGGTGTGCAAGGTGCACAAAATCTTTATGCATGACCCATTTTTTTTTACAGATTATCACGTTTACGAAATTTTTTAAGAATAACGTGCGAAAAGTAAAAGGCACCTCGAAAGGTGAGAACTTTGTATCAACACATTTTTTGCAAAAATTATGAATTTTAACATATATAGCTGCCATACTGAAAAGGCCATTTGGAATTTTATTTTTTTAACACCATATTTAAAATCATCGATTTTAAATCAGAAATTTGAATTCTGTGATGACAAGAATTCTTAAAATTTACTCATCAAAAATAATAAAAATTTTGATGTATCTGGACGCCATACTGGGTCAGCCATTTTGAATTTCATACTTTTGACGTAAGATTTAGTTTCATCGACCCCAAAAATCTCCTAACACATTTTACTTTTTAAAATTTTTAACTTATTTCACCTAATATGTTATAAATCTATCCCTTACTTTTAACTTTTTTACACTTTGGCTTTAAGGGATAGTTTTAACTCTTCAGAATGGATCATTGCCGATAAAAACAAAATACGTGTCAAATATTTTTCAAAGTTCTACAAATATGCAAAGTTTCATTAAAATCAGTGAGTGACACCTCCGTAGGTTTACTTGTTAGTTCCAATGTAAGTAAAGCTAACTTGACGATCCGAATTCGTATTCAAAATTAACGAACAACTGTTATTACCCAAACGTTTCTTGAATTGATCAAACAACTCCTCGACTTTATATAGCATGATACTCTCTTCACCCCCGCATCTTTGATGATATACTTCAACATCATCAATATCCTACCGGAAGACGCGATAACACACGCGAGTGCAATCGAATCAATTATGGCAAGTTTCTCCATGACTCGGAGTTATTTAGAAGTTTAGCTTACTTACTGTGGCCCCTCGCGCGGTTTCTCTCTCCCTCACTTACTCGAAAAGTCTTACAATCGTAGGAGTGCTTACGATAACAACTCTCGTCCGTCACTGTACTGTGATACTCTTGCGACGGATTTGTTTCCGGGATTATCAATTCAAGATTTAATTCTTGCTGTTTTTTTAAATTACATTTCGCCGAAGAGCGTTATGGGTTTCGTTAGCAAGACGAACCAAGATCAAAATTTGCCTAGCCTCCGAAGAATTTGTATATATTTTATTTTACATACGAAATATGTTCGATTTATACTTCGATAACAATTTTTCCAGAAAATTTTGCAACAATATCTAATGCCATTCGTAAAGTACATTTCATAGATTTGAGGCCTGGTAAATTTTGATTTTAAACGCCCTTTAAAGCTAATCTTTCACAAGACAAGCTAAATATACATTTTGATATCATCTTAGACCATTTTGTTAATAAACAATTTTAATCATTGTTGTAATAAATAGCTCTTATCAATAGTATTGAACATATTCGATCAGACTCAAAATACTAATCGCGTATTAGTAGCGTAGCCGATCGATACGTTTGAGCACTCCGAAGAAAAACATACAAATTAAGATGGACCCGAATACTTTTCGCCCTTCAACTACCATATTACCAATATTGCACGAAAATTTACAATATACAGGTGACTCTCAACGACAAATTTTAACTTGCATTAAATTCCGTTATTACTATTAAGAGGCTAAAAATAAGTAGTAATTTTTAAATCATTGAAAGAAAAGATGTCTGTGTAAAAAGAGAAGCGAATGAAAATTTAAGTAACTAATGAAAACGTAATAATAAATTAGCTTTAACCGAATGCAAACACTCAAGTTGACATACTACGAATAATTCAGAGCGTTTACACATAGACCAGTTTTCAATTGGTCGAAAGTATAAGAATTCTTACCTAAACACTTTCCTTTTACAGCAGTCATCAAAAAGTTGTAGCAAATTTATAACTTTCGGAAACAACGCAACTTTATCCCTCCCTCTACCTTCGGGGTGGCTATTAAAGTCGGAGAAAACTCGTATCACAATACTTCCCGACAAATCTATACGTCGTAAAAATGTCTCGAGTGTATAACGCGGGTCGTCTCAATGGAACGCTAAAACTTCGCATATCGAATTCCTTTCTCAAGTGCAATTTCACATTATACAATGACAATTTTCGAAACAAGTATCGGAGAGTCACCTGTATCCTCTTAAGTATTCCCCGTTCCCGTTAAATCGTTTAATTCTATCTCGTGTCAAATATGTTCTAATTCTTTGCACAAGGCTGCACACACACGCCCAATTACGTTAACGAAAGCCAGCATCTCGCAAAGTTTCCCTCTTTCCCACATCCTCTCTTCTTTTTATCCTCTCCTTTCTACCCTTTCATCCCTGTCTCATCTATGTCTCACGCATATTCTCTCTCACATGAACAAACATGTCAGTAGCTAGTCATTCTCTTATCGTCTTATGAACCTAGAAGTTGAAGCCCAAGACTACCAATTCCTCAATTAATTCCATTTAGTGTTATGGCAAAATTTCTCGGGCTCGAGTTAACCCGAACACCATGACGGAACACCGTTGTATGCCTGTGGCGAGAGATGTCTTTTGCATTCATTTTATTCCTGAGATTACGTCAATCCCCCGTTAACGCGACACCTTCGCCGCAACGACTGCCGGACCCGGCTGAAGAGTCAGTGAACTAAGGGTCGGCCGACCATCCGTGAATTTCAAGCGCCAGACGTTGTCGTCCCTAATGGACGGACGAAGATTCACGTCTCGGATACAAAGGAATCACCATGAACCTCCTGTATGTTCTCTTACATGTTTACGTGCCCGTTTGCGCGCTCACTAAATTGTGTTACACGATGTGGATCCACCACTTAAAGACTCGGTACGAAACTCCTCGAAATAAAAAGCACACTTTCAACGTTAACTTGTACACACACACGCACACACACACACACACATACACACTTACACACACACACACACACGGCACTGTACAACTCCGTTCGGAGCGAGTAAAAATTATGTTTCACTTTCTTCAATCGCAAAAACGCTACATACATTGGCATCCATTTCTGACGAGAATTATTCAAGCAACAAAGATTGTAAGCTTGAACGCGGTGTTTGCAGTATGTTTAACAGTCTGTAATAATTGTTTCAAGAGCGAGAACAGTTTTGAGAAGAGAATTTAGATCAACGTGGCCGCCAAACGCCAAGGTGTGATCGCTCCTTCATCTCGCACATAGTGTAACCGAACGCAATGAAGACGCGAGCGCGAGAATAACATGCTATTTGTAATATCAAATGGAATATACAAGAAAGTAATAATCTCACGAGATTAATGGAGGAGAAAACGAAATTCTCTCACTTACAACAATGACTTAGAAGAGCGTGTCTCTCGCGCCTTGGGAAATGTATTTTCCCGATCAGAGTTCAAAAGTGCCCCCGTCACTTGATCTCGATCGACGCTGTCCTCTCGTCGCGCCTCGTTCACGGCGAGCCACACACCCTCCAGCATCAAAGATCTCGAGAGAGACTGGAATTCCACACTCTGTCACACGGAGATCTCTTGAATCTGCACGCGCTTCTTCGTGCTACCAGGTGTCCCGGGTTGCCGCAGAATCCCGGGACACGTGAGACCGACGTTTGGGACCTTGGGTGGAGGCGGAGGTTCCGGGAGATTATCCTCGTTATCGTCCTCGCTGTCGTGGTGGAGACCGCTGATGTTGTTGACGTCGTCCATCTGCGCGATGGTGGCATCTACACAGGGCGACGGGGTGCGGGTCCGCTGAATACACGGATTCTTGCTGTAAGACGGCGGTTCCAGAATCCGTTTACCGCCACCGGGCGGCGGGGAGCACTGAAACTCCTGCAGCTGTAACTCGAGCTCCTGCACGAGCTTTGCCTTGTGCGGCGGCAACATCGACGATGCAGAGTCTATCATACTCATGGAAGACGGTAGTCGCTGTTTGCCCGATGTGTCCATGCCGGAACAACCAGCCTCCAGGAACTCCTCTTTCTTCTTGTTGCTGAAAGTGCTCGACAGACCGCCACCGGTTGTGTTCCGGTCGCGTTGATGATATATCCCCGCGAAAATCAGGATGTTGAGCAGCAGCAAAAACACCCCCACTGCGATGGTGACCGTTAGAGCCGTGGTGTAACTCTGATAATGACTGGACGCAAGTTTGCGCAGGAGATTGTTGGGACCCGGGCCTAGATTCGAGATGTGCAACGTTCGCGAAGTGGTAGGCGTGATGGTTGTCGAGACAGTCGCATTCGGGGTGCATTCTGTAGTCGACAGCACAGTCAATATCGAAGAGGGTTCCGTGGGCGATGGCATCGGTAATGGAGGTGCCGGCAGAGGTACGGCCGTACTCTGCGGTCGCACCGGGCCCTCGTAGAGGCCGGGGTTCTCCGCGAGATGATGGTGCCGCATATTGAGCTCGTAACCCGGCCGGTGCAGCTGCGGCAGCAGATTCAGCCAGAGGGACATCTTGTGGCCTCTGTAGTGCGAACGCATCTCTGGGCTGTGAGCGGCCTCCAAGTATAGCTGATTTATGGAATCGTACGAATCCCAGAACGGCGGGCTCGTCGTCAGGCCGTTCTCCAATCCTGAGGACAGAGGACTCGCGCCATTCGGATCCCTAGAACAACCAGCGAACCGCGACTCTTTGACAAATGGATTGAAACTGCCACGAGGCTTGACAGTCTCTTCAATCTCTCGATTGAATGCTCAATTTTTAAAAAATTCAATCAAAAAGTGCCGCACAAAATTCAATAGATACAGTTTATTTTTTATATAATTAATTGTAGCGATATATTATGATTTAAAATAATTAAATGAATATGTTATAATTTTACTATTTGCAGCAAATTGTTTGAAATGTTGCTTTTCTAAATATCGAAAGCTTCATAAAATTAAAGCCCCCGAAAAACGAATATCTCACGCTTCTCTGTACGATATGTTTCATTAAAGGCGGAATTCCATTATGAAAATCCGCCGTGTCGATGACAGAATAATCATCCAGATAGCCGCCGATCCGCAATTAGAGATGCCAAAATCACTTCGCGTCTTCGCCACTAACAAGTCTACTCTACTTCGAGATTGCGAGCTTTCGCTGAGCGCGTTAACGGCCTTTGCGGGAGTTTGGCCCCAAAATCCTCTCGCAGCTGTAACTTTACCCTTACTACCATTACCAGCCTTCAGTCTCCTCTCTTACAGAGTAATCGAAGTGTATGCGATGCTTAAGTTCTGAAGAACTTTGAACCGGGTGAATTAACGAGAGAGGGTTCACTTATCCGATTAACCCTTTCGTGCTCATACGCCAGTTATTTCACGTTGTAGTGTCGCCGACTAATGTTAATCGTATATTTCAACCAGAAGAGAATTCATTAAACAGTACGAGAATAACTTTTCGCGATTTTCTTGAAAATGTTCGTCAATTGAACTCATCGATTAAGATTAAAGAACAAAAAGAAAGTCTACGATATGTTTAGTTGTATGTTTTCTTTTCCTTCTCTTCATTTTATTCTATTTCGTGTCTTATACCACTTTATTCTTTACGTACACTTTTCTTTTGTTTTCTGTTATTTTATTTTCGTAATTTTCTCTTTATGCCATTATTCTTTTTTGCACACGTCCTTAAAAATGTGCACTGGAATAATATAATAAACCCTCTATCTATTTATTTATATATCTACACGGAAAGAATTATATCTTAAAATTTATCCTGAAAATACGATAATCGTGGGACAACATTATATTTCGAAGAGTTTTTATGTAAATCTCTCACATTCATTAATAAAACTACAATAAGATATAAAATAAGTATGATTAATACTGAAGTGTATGGTAAAAATCTTTAAATTTATTGTACTGTACCATAATTACTATAATTTCGGGGTAAATTTTAAGAAATCCTTCTCTCCGTGTATCCATCCATTAACATTTTTATTTTCATTCAAAACTGCCGTGTCTTTAATGAACGCGGTCCAGACGTTAATTTCATCAGTAGACGCGGAGAAAGAGAAGCGGAAAGGACTTACCCACGCCTGACGAAGTTAGCCAGATAGTGTACAAGCAGTTTCGACAGATTCTCGTCGGCGGGGGTGTAGTTGCCAAAGGCGGGCACCGCGGACGTGACTTCGCCGCGAAGAAGAGGTATACCCAGGAGATACGGCATCTCCTCACCCCTCTGGCTCGGCAGTTCACCTGGCTGGAAGTGCAGGAAGTAGCCGCGTCCCTCCGAAACCGAATGCAGTAAGGCCAGCCTGAGGAGCGGCGCGGCGACCTGGCCGTCTCCGAGGAGAGATAAGAGACCCTCGCAAATCGCTACGGGACTCTGCTCGCCTCGCTCCCAGTCGGTGTACTCGTTCCGTAGAGTCGAATAGATTTCATGCAAATGGTACCGGTAGGTGTTCCGGACGTAAGTGCGCAGTATACGGTCCCTCCTCGTCTCGTTCAAGCCGTTCTGCGAAGCAGCCAGTGAGAATCTCGCCCATTTTTGCGACCCGGAGGACGCGCGCACGCGGAAATATTATACTCCTCTTTGATATTACGCTGCGAATTTAACACGTCATTCAATAAGTCCCGGGCCCGACGTAATAGATGGCGCACTAATAACAAATCCGTATGATTTTTTAAAAAGTATACTAAACCTTCAAGCACCCGTGTCAAAATTTTAGCTCAATCGGACCTTTACAGGTTACAGTGATTTAAATCACCCTACTTTTGTCGAATTTGGGCGACCAGAGCGTTCAGCGTCATTTGTGTTTTTACGACGGAGCAGAGACCGAATAACGCTTATCAAGCCATTGCTTTGCTTGAACGGTATTTTGTCCCATCAGGAAGCAATGTTTTATCAACACACGAAATTCAGGCTTTTCCATTGTTTTGAAAAATGCAAAAGTCACTTAAACCACTGTAACTTGTAAAGTAGACGTCCGATTGAGCTAAAATTTTGACACGTATACGTTTGAAGGTTCAGTACTTCCTAAAAATCATATGGATTTGTTATTATTAGTGCGCCATCTATTATGTCAGGCCCCGGGGACTTATTGAGGTGATGTGTTATCGCAATTTGTAAAATAATCTCCCGCGCGATACCATAACTTTGTACCGTCAATCATTCACGGATAATCGCCGAGAGATTTTAGAAATAATTAAACGATATTTCCGCCAATATATATTTGTGGGTGGATTATTAATTTGATTATGATCGTAAAACAGGGGCAATGCTATTTTTAGCCCAGTGGCCATGACCATCGGAGAGTCAATAATATCCGGAACGATTGGCGAGCAGCAGACTTGCGATGCAATCGTGTGCAACTCGTCAATTTGTCAAACTATATCCAATCGATGTCAATTACATATTATGCGTGAAGTGTCCGGTCATTAATCAAGGAATTACTTCCGCTCTAATATAAATTTCTTGATAAAATCGATACAAAAATAAAAGTATGGCCGATAATAGCAGCGGAGGAAAACAGATTAAAAAGTTCGAAGCTTTTTATTCCTCTAACAGAAGATATCACGGAACTGTAATTTAGAAACCAAGAAATTTGCAAGAAAAACCAGACATCCAAAACAAAAAAGGATTTTGTGTACTCAATTTTAATTTATTCTGTGTTTTCTTTTTTCAAAATGAGCGTGACGACTGCGAATTTCACTTACCTGTAAATCTCTCTCGGTGAGATTCACCCAAGCTTCATCGGATGTTAAACCGAAAAGTAAATCACGGTTGCCGAAGTCCGCGAATTCAGCGCCAGGCCCGGGCACGATCGGCATTAGTCCGGAAGAAGAGGCAGTAGGCTGGAAATTCTGAACAAGAGAGAGATCTTCCTTTTCGTGTTTAGTATTAGAATAACGCGCATGTCGATGAGGTTCACTTTAATTCTCAATCTTCGCTCTCGCTTTTCCCCCACCTCCCCATATCGTTGTTAAATAAATCTCTATTATTTCGGTACATCCCTCTCTATCACGTACAGCTATAATAATTTCTATTTAACGTCACGTATAAATTGACTTAGCCGCCGTACGTTTTAAAGCGGAGACGACAAGGAGAGGCTTTGACTGCTTTGTAATAAATCGTGGTTGCGACGGGTACCTATACATGCACGTTCATCCTCTCCCGATTTCGCATTTAACGTCGCGATATCGCGACGAACTCGAGCTACCAGATACATTATCTGAAATGAGTTAATAGAGCATGCGCGAAGTAGCTATTACGGTTCCTTGGATCCATCATCCGTCAGCCGGCCGCTCTTTCAATTAGCAGATTTATCGTTTACCTTGTCGCCTCGTTCGCTCTTACGCAAAATCAATACGTCGGTTCGCTGCCCGACATTGGACTAATATCCGTATGCCAATTACAACATTCGCGAATTCCGTAATCGCTTGGATGAAACGCTTGTCGCGACCCATGTTTGTTTAACGCGCCCGCAGTTATATTTATTTACATCGCGGTGGATATTCCATATGTGTGGCCAGCGTTTAAACGGCGGACGAGAAACAACACACGTATATATATATATACTCCGCGAAAAAGATAGAGGATGTAAATGCAAATTTTATGAAAAATAGCTTAACGTCAAATGTGACGCCGAGTTGGAAGATGACTGCGCCGGACGCCTCGAAAACATTCGGATAACATATTAGCGTGTCATTTGCAAAAACCGCTAAAAAGTACCAATATAATATTCATAATAATTTTCGCCAACTTTATTCTCTTTATTCGACGGTTTAAAACAGATCTTTTCGTCTATGTTTCTCTTTCTTTGGTGGATGTGAGTATATCTAGTTTAAAGATTGAAATAATAAATTAGGCTCTATATGTATAAAACAATGTAAAATATTTAGAGAGAGAGAGAGAAAGAGAGAGAATAAGGACAAAGAGCCATAACAAACAATTCTAATTTAATAATAATAATAATATGTAAATAAAGTAACAAAGAAAATTTAATATAAATAAATAAATAAATAATACATACGTTTCGACTCCGATCGGATTATTCTCAATGTTACATTTAAAAAATTTTTTAACGGTAATTAAATTACATAAAAATATCTTCTACAAAAATTAAATTAAACAAATAATAATAATAATTAAATCGTTGTGATTCCGACCCCGCATTTCTCGCTGTGTCCAATGTTGTAAGTCAAACGTTAACGATAAAAACATCATCTAAGTGATAGTAATGAAATAAAAAAATTAAAGATTGAATATTTTCTCTATTAATGACGTTTTATAATTAAAGTGGCGTCGACATTGAGATTTCAAGGCGTAGAACTTAAGCTTTAAGTCATAAAAAATTAATTCACAATTGAATGTGAAAAGGATAAGCGACTATGATTTGCCAATTATTGTAATCATACACGGAGAGAAATATTTAGGCGAATTAACTGGAATTCTGAAAAATGTGAATAATTTAGAATTCTGGTTAAATCTAGTAAATTTTTGATTAAATCGAATAGAATTCTAATAGATTTAGCCACGAAAATTCTGTGCGAATGTTGATTGTTTCAAATAGAATTCTAATAAATCTAATCAGAACTCTAGTACATTTAACCACATTTCATTTGGATCATTTATTTTTCACCAGAATTCCAGTTAATTCAACTGAACATTTTCCTCTGTGTAAGGCTTAAAGCTTAAGTTTTATGCCATAAAATGTCAAAATGTAAACGCAGCTTTAGAGAACGTAATCCATCTACTAAATAACGATTTATCTCTGTCTCTCTCTCTCTCTCTCTCTCTCTGTCTCCAAATTCTAAATTGAGAAAAGGAACAGCAGGATTGATTAAACCGTAATTAAAATTAATTAACGGCATATTACGGTTAACAGCGGTAGTAAAACCGAAGCAATCAGGCAAAGCAGATCGTAAAGCAAGTGGAAACGGCGCCGCGTTACTGTTCTCCAGTCTCGAGATTATCGATTATTGGATCGAATCGTCTCACCTGATTGACTGTCTGTGGCAGAACAGTCCCATCGACGAAGGGTGCAAATCCGGAAGTAAATCTCGGCGGATCGAGCGGCACCGCCAGTAGCTCCTCCACGCTCTTTAAACGAAGGCACGGTGCGATATCGTCAGCCTCGACGTCACCGGGACATTTGATCTTCTCGGCGACGCGACGCTTCACCGCCAGCGGATCCCGCTGCACCGCCCATGGCGAGAGGGCTGAACCACCGAGCAGAATCACCCTCCCGATCAACTCTAAAACATTTTCGTTGAATAAACTCTCGCTAATTGCAAAATAATAGCTAACAAGGAGTATGTTCGATAAATCTTTCATTATTATATATAAATATAGATAGTAATAAACACATCGGTGTTTTTATTATTTAAAAATCCAATATTTCGCCAACAGGAAACCAGTCTCTTATTATTTTACTATGTGTGTATAATAAAAGCTTCTCCCATTGAAATGTTATTTAAACCCCGCCTTCTTATTGGAGAATGGAACTTGAACACGATTATATTGAAGATCGATAAATCAACTTCAATTAGCATGTCTCTCTCTATAGACAGCCGTACCGACATCAATCAGCGTTAAACGTGATTAAATCAATGTGCTTCCTTCATAAAGGACTATAATTTACACAACAAAACTGCAGCTTAATTAATATACTCAATTTTATTTATAATATCATATATGAACAAGCGAAAAGAAAGTTTTCGACTTTTTCTTAGAAGGTACAAAACAAAAATAATAAATACAAATTACAAAAAAATCACATCTCTCTAAGCCGATAAATAGAGCGAAACGTTTCGTGCGGGCGTTGTCCAAAAATGTACCGTAAACAAATTCGCTTTTCTATATACAAAATGGATACATCCCGTCAGCGGTAAATACAATCAACAGCACGTCAACCCGAGTTGACTGTGTGTAACCAATCGGCCGCACAAGCCGCGAAACAATTGAACTCCTTACCTTTCGCCATAGGAGAGACGGCTAAAAAATTCGCGAGAGCCGCCCCGGTGCCGTGGCCCAGCAACGCCAGTCGCTCAGGATCGCCACCGAAAGCCCCGAGATTTTCGCGCAGCCAATGAAGCCCCGCCACCAGATCCATCAATCCATAATTGCCCTGCGCGCTTCCCTTCGAGCCGGTCTTCAGGAAGCCTGCAGTTTCAACGTTACTCGAGTTAGGAAAACCGGTTCGTTTACGTCCGGCTGAATGGAGCGCAACAAGGATGTTCGAATATTCGACGCCACTAATTCCCGAGAGCTTCCAACGAGAGCTAACAACAAGAAGCAGAGTATCGCGCGAAATATCGTAACGCGTGTATACTCTTGTTATTCCGGAAAGCGAAAAGTGGAAGAGTCGCCGAGAAAGAGAGAACTTTTGGTTGGAAGATCCATTCAGACATTTCCGGGAGCCTCCTTCCCTTCGAGAAGGCTGCTTCCTTCACCTCTTCAAACCTCGACGATTAAAACTCTGTTATGTTAATCGCAAACTTTCGCTAAACTCGGGCACTTTTAGTATCTGCTTCAACAGAAAGGATCGTCTAAGTTAATTAATTATTGCTAAGTTGGTTATCGTTACGGAAACGAAAGTCGGGATATATACTCACACGCGTGCGTATATATAGACACAGGTACTATTGTAACGGCGAACTGTACTCGAAGAATAAACCGGATTAAAATTAAATATTTGCTCGTCGGTACTCAATCCTACCGAGCTTCAATTTGCTACCGACTCACCTACGGGCTTGTCACTTTGCTTCACTATCTGCCTGCGAGGTGAGTTTCCCATTTCAATCCGATTCGCCTTTTAATTACATTCACATATCTGTATTGGTACCAAGTTTTAATTACGCTAGTATTTATAGCGTCAGAAAAACATCGTGGAGTAATGATTCGAATAACAAGGAATAAGTGTTTTCGCTGCCCCCCCATTCATACGAAAAGATTTTTCTTTTTTTTTTTTTGCATAAAACACGCAATTATTTTTAATTGTTATACATTTGTTCATTTCGCCCATCGAATTTTATATTTGTTCTACAGAGAGCGCAGCAATTTGCGAAACGTTGCATTATATGATATATTTAAATATTATTTAACGTGATGGTTTGATCGGCAATTTATTTACGTTAATAAGTGGCACGAAACCCGTAAATGGCGCGAAACGGTGAAAAAGCACGAGTAATAAGTGGAATAACAAGAAAAAAAGACGAAAGAAAATCGAATCGGTTGGCCATGCGGTATCGGATAATGCCGCAGGCATTGTTTCGCTTCAGCGCGATGAACAAAACGCACACGGAACTGCAAGGCTACCGACAAAGAGAAGCGCGCGAAACCAAGCCCTGGGTATGGTGAAAATACGGCGTATCGATATCGAAAATTGTTCCACTGACTGCCCCCCGGGCTTCTTTCATGAATGGGGGATACGGTGTTGTAAACACGCTTGCATACCTTCCGAATAATGCGTTGTTTATCGCTTTATCCGCGATTAGGCGCGCACCCGTACCTTTACATATTGCAGCTGCAAATAGCGCAAAAAAAAAAAAAAATAAAATAAAATAAAAATAAATAAATACAGATTACAGCACACTGTGGGCGGTGTGTGCGCTTTTCACGATGATAAAGCGTGGCATGAAACCGTGAAAGCGTGCATACGGTGGCATAATACATTTTTAATTAACGCAAAATTGCCAAGACTACCAGCATCACGAGATGAGATAGACTCCGACGGCCAGATAAAATCCATTTTACGAATTAACTAAATAAAAAACGAGCTGTATATCCGGGAACACAACGTAAATTCACCGGCGAGACGGGATCCGTTTCTAACTCCTCACGCTGAGCGAGTATCGATTACACCTCACTGCCATTCTTGCCGTGCTCCAGTTTAAATTGTGCGCGTAATATTTAGCAGATACTGAAAGGCCGGTATACGTATACAACAAACGCGAGCTCGAAACTCTATTCGCGCATGAAAACACCTTCAGCCTTACGCGTCCCCCTTTCTTAGTCCTCATTGAACTCCCTCTTTCTTCCGTCCCCCTTTGTTCCCGCGTGGTTTTAATTTTGGCACCCGCACATGCAACTCCCCTCACCCTTTCTCTTTCTCTCGCGCGTATGAAAACGCATTCTGCGTCTTGTAACTCCGATGTTTTCTATATTCAAGTTGACATCGTGTTTTTGAAGAGTTACGACTATCGCGGAAATAACAACCTCCGAAGGGAAGAATTTCCATATATAACTGCGCGGGAAAGTAATCTGGTAAGATCTCGACAAACTTTTCCTCTCCTACCTGCCACGAATAATGAGATCATTCCTTCAACTCTGTCGAAAGAACAAAAGAGCCCAGTCCCGCTGTGTAATAAACAAAGCGTGGTAAACTCGGCGCACTTTATAACACGGAAACTTTCTATCAGTTCTTGTACACAAAACAGTAATGCAAATGCCTGATTATCGTATTGTTCTTGTTTATGCTCGAAATAATAATTTTTCAGCAGAAAACGCGCATGTTTATTGAGTATTGATCAAAGTGTCAAATTGTCAGTCACCGTTCGTTACCTGAAAAAAAAATAATTGCTCCAATTGTACGATTCTTTATGATGAAACACGTCAGTTCAAAATTATTTTATTCAATTGTAAAATATTATTATCACTGACACAAGAATAAATTATTATACGAATAAGGAATATGAGAGAAAATTTCTTTAGCTTTTTTTCCATTTTAAGACAAAGAAACGAGCAATATTTCTTTACAAGATGCTCTTTTTTTATCCTCCCGCAACAATTATAATATACGCAAACGTAGTCAAATAAAATAGATAAAATAATCGCAAACGCTTGCAAGGCGTGTCCTACTTTCCGATACAGCAGCGTAGCGAAAAGGAACGGTCTGTTTCAATGAACAAGTATTGCCTGCAGAGCTTACCAAGCACACCAAGACGAAAATTGATAGAGACGACAATAAGGCGTCCGTGAGCAGCCAGGGCGGTTCCGTCAAATGAATTTCCGGCGCCCCACGAATATGAATCGCCATGAATAAGGAGGAGAGCCGGTAACGAGTCCGCGATACTACCTGCAACATTAAAGAACATTCTACCACATCTCTCTGCAAACACAAAGTATATGCAATAAATGTAATAGAAATACAGGGACAAATATATTAGATGTACAAATAAGTTTTAAAGCGTTTTTAATAAAATTTAATATTTATTTACAGTTGGAAACAAAAATACACTTAATTATCAAAATAATCCCCGTTATTATCTATGACCTTTAGCCATCTTTCGAGCAGCTTGCGAATTACAGAAAAGAAGAGGGTTTCGTCTTTCGCGATGCGATAAAATTATCCACCCATTTTCGCATTTCTTCAAATGCTCGAAAGTGCACAAAGCGTTTTGCATTGACCAGAATAAATGATAGTCTGAAGGGGCTATATCTGGGTTATACGCCGGGTGTGGTAGAATTTTCCCAACCAAGCAACGTTTCCTTTACAGGTTTACCAACATGAGGCCTAGCGTTGTCATGAAGCAATTTCACGGAACGTTTTCCTTTGCCAGTAAATGGTCGATTTCGTTCGATTTCATGATTTAAACGGATCAATCGTTGAATGTAGCGATCACTGTTAACCGTTTCATTCGGGTGGAGCAGCTCATTATATAGCACACCCTTCATGTCCCACCAGATGCACAGCATAACTTCGCTGCTGTGGATGTTGCGTTTTGGCGTTGATGTGATGAGTTGTCCTGGATCCACATAATGTTTTCTCTTTTTAGGACTATCGTAAAAAATCCACTTTTCATCATCAGTCACGGTTTTCCACAAGAAAGATTTTCTATGCTGTTTATTGTACAGATTCAAACACTTCTCAAGACGATCATCTTTGCTTTTTTCATTTAATGCATACGGCACCAACTTTTCTTTTTTTTAGAATCTTTCCCATCTGCTGTAAACGAATTGAAATATCTTGTTGGGTTACTTCAAGTTGCTGTGCAAGTCCTTTTTGTGTTTGACAAGAGTTTTGATCGAGTAATGCTTGTAATTGATTGTCTGTAATCTTCTGAGGAGTACCACTACGTTCTCTATCGCTAACATCAAAATCATCCTCTTTGAATCGCCTAAACCAAAACTCACACATACTTTTGGATACAATATTGTCTCCAAAAACAAAACAAATTGATTCATATGCTTTAGCAGCGTTTTTTCCTTGATGAAATTCGTATCGAATGCAGTGTCGAATAAATTGCTTGTCGCTAGCCATTTTAAAACCATTAAATTTTGAGGTTAAGTTTCTAATTGTGTGAAGTCAATTGTTCTTTTTTTTTTAATAGTACACATTAAGCACCACCACATATCAAAAAAGCGCGAAAATATTTGAATTCTAAGTTTAAATTATACGTTACATAAAAAACGCTTTAAAACTTTTATTTGTACACATTCAGGGTGTCCCATTTTAATCGATCATCTCAAATATCTTTTAAACAGTACATTTGAGGGAAAATGTTTCAGACAAAAATTTTAGGACTTCGAGGGGGATTAAGATAATATCATTGGTTTAACCTTGAGTAGCGTCGCCAAGGTCAGGGCAAGGTCTTAATATTACAATTTTTTTTAGAAAGTTACAATCTTCTCCTATCTTAATACATTTTCTTGTCAATATGATGTGGGATCAAGTACAAAAGTGTGTATTCAAAACTAATCCTATTGTAAAATATAAGTATAATAAATAATATAAACACGGTTAAACATCTTCTACAAAGTAAGTGCGGCCAGATAAAAATGTCGAAATAACTGGCTAAAAAGCGGCTTTAGGTTTCCATAAAATCACTCGACTACAATTACATGAGCTTATATGAGCTAACAATCTGTGATTTATAAAATACACGTTATAAATCCACGATAATATTACATAATCCTAAACTTCATCGATTAAACATCGCATTTAATGTTTCACAAAAAAAATTACACAAATATATTTAGCAATTATAAATACAGATAGTGTTTATGAAAAGAAAATCAATGCAAATATAATATCTACCATTGATTATAAAAATATAAATGCGGAATATATTTACATAATTCATATTTGCAATAATTATAGCAATATATTTTTATAATTTTAATATATTTTTATACATATCATACGTATATTTTTTAACTCATAAGGGATTAAGATAGTTATATATACATTATAAAATACATTATTCAAGAATGTCTCGAAACTTTCGTTTCAAGTAATTTAGGTATTAATACATATATATACCTGTAAAATTTGAGATCGATTTACCATCCCGTTCTTAAGGTATAATCGATCAAACTTCGCCGATTTTTCTATATTTACTATTGTAGTATAGCCATTTCCACCGTGATACGACACGAATTTTCATATAGCACCGAAACCGCATTCAAGAAGTTAATGAAAAAGGAGTCTCGTATGAATTAATGAAGAAGCATGTGTAACAAGACCGCAAATATTCACTGTATTAAAATTTAAGTGTCAATAAAAAAAATCTTGATTTTATATATTTTCTCGAGAATTGACAAAGTCAAGTAGGTATGGCAACGTCGCACTTTCAATGACCATGCGTCTGTTTGAAAATGCTTATTAGTCCGGTCACTTTAAAACAAAAAAGGGCGTATAAACACAACGACTGTATCTCGGAAACTATTCATCGGACGAGGTTCAAAAAAAATCCCATTTTAAAGATAATTTTATAAGCTTGATCCACATAATTCCTTTATATTTTTTACCGCAGACAAATTAGAAGTAAGTTATTTACAAAAATGTACTCAGAGACACGTATAATAAAGACTTTTCAGGTGTATCTCAGGTAATTATTAGCCGTGTACAAACCATTAAAAAACTAAAATGCAGGAAATTTAATAATCTTTCATTTTGATGATAACTATTTTTGGCGTAGGAGTAGTCGTATATAAGATATTTCCGATATATTAACGAGGAAACATTCTCATTTTCAAAATATTCGCAAGTCACGATGCCTTTAAAAAAATGATATCTCCGGAACTATCGATCGTACGACATTCAATAAAATCCCATTTTGTAGGTAATTAAATACTCTTTCGATCTTGTTATATACGTTTTGTACGTAGATGCACCCAAATTTGAGATATTCGCGAAGACAGAACAAATTTACGTAACGTTCGAAAATAAGAGGTCCCTTAAAATAAATCTATCTCTAGAACTATTGATCGTACATTGAAGTACGACGATTAGAGAATTTTGTAGAGAAGTTTATTATCTTTCTTTTATTATGGACCTACTTTGGCCGTAAAATTGATAGGAAAGAAGATAACCGCGAAAAACCGAAATTTCAACCCTTCTACGCTCGATAAAAAAACTTAGCGTACAAGCTAACGTTGGGAACTTTTCAGACATCATTTCTCTCGCCTAAATGAAGGTGTTTAGCAATTTATAGCTTAGTCGGAATTTTGTGTTTCAAAATTCTACAGTGACTGGACTATATTACCTAGCGATGATTTTGATATCGGGAAGATTTTAATATTGGATGCGATTGCCATCGCGTATAGATTTGGTATGTCTCGTTTCTCATCAAGAGTGAGGTTATGCCATTCTTGTCATTTTTTCGCAAAAACCGCATATTTTGCATTTTTTCCTGCTAAAGCTTTATTTTTAATATATTTTTTTTTTTTATATCGTGATTGTACAGACATTTTCGTCTTTTATATAAATATTTTGACAGCGGTACTTGTGCCTGTCACCGTATTCGTCTACTCGTAAAATTGCGACGTTGTCACTATCTAATTTCTCTTATATATACGTAGATTTTCTTTCTTTTCATAAATTGACTTATTTCATCATGATTTAATAATGTAAATGTATAAAATAATTGTTTTTTTATTCTTAGATTTTACATAACAATAAATATTCATTTAAATTTAGGGTTATGTTTAAGTCTATCGTTGACTTGCATAGTTGGTGTATAACCACCTTAAATATTTTGAAAAACTTACGATTTAAAATATTTTACATATAAAAAAATATTAGTTTGGCAAGTGCGATTTTAAACGATTCAAATATTGTAAATTATGAGGTGTTCAGCTACTCGAGTGAAAGATCTCGATTACGTAAATCTTGAAAAGAGACTTTCCATAAAATCTGCATTTTACTCCTAACAGGGTAATGCAGCTGTCTCTATCAATCGCGACGTCAAATTCCACGTAATGCGCAACGGCGATCGAAATATAATCATTCCTGGAACGAACTATCATGCTGAACTAAGTGATGGCAAGGCGGAGACACCTGTTGCGATCTTAGCGCACGCTAGATGACGGATAGTTAAGTAGGTGAACAAGTAGGCGAACGAGACATCTTCCGTTAATTCGCTGTGCGTATTTTTCCATTGGAAGCTGCGAAAACTTGTTCTTACCCGGCCGCCTATTTGCGATCGTATCTCCAAAACGTTTACGAGCGACTCGATACTTTTTATTAATAATTAATACAAATAGAAAGGACGATGTAAGAGTCAAGTAAAATTTCATTTAAAAATAATACAATGTATATATTTAATTTTAAATTTCAAAAATAATAGAATATAAATATAAAAAAATATATAAAAAATAGAATATCAAAAATTACTTAAAAAAGACATGATGGACATTGCGTTGCGTAACAAGTTTCTACTTTACTTTTTATTAATATTGACTCGTCTTTGTCGTGCCCAGAAGTTCATAAATTATAGATTCCTTTTTATGAATAAATAGACTAAAGGAGATATTTGTGTGCCCGTTTAGTTATTTACTAGACTATTTTGGGTCTTCTATTGCTGCTCTTTCAACATATTAGGAATAAAAATTAATTCGGTCCGTTTTCCAAAAGATGATCGCCTCCAAAGACGAGTCATTTTTTCGAGATGAAATTCGAAAATTGCCTGAGAGATGGGAAAAAGTAGTAGCCAGCGATGGATAATACTTTAATTAATCTGTTCATTCGTTTTGTTTCGAAATAAATGCATTTTTGAACACAAAAAACAGACCGAACTAATTTGTACACCTAATATTTAGGAATAATTGGAAAATAGAAATAATTCCATTCTA